TTGATTTTCAGGCAAAATAATTTAGGCTGACTTTTATTACTTAGATAGTGTTTTCAATAGTTAACGATTTAATAAATTTATTCATACCAATTGATTTAGCAATATTTTTTGTAAAAACAAAATAAAATTCGAAAATGGTTTTTATAATATATCTGTATTTTTGAAAATAATTCCATAAACATTATTTATTTGTTAAACAATCATTTCTTCCATATAATTTATCACCACTGATTTTAGCTGTTATCACTGTAAGAGTTTTGCTTATCATTTATATATTCTCGAGAATATATTCTCGAGAAGTATTCTACCGATATAGATTAATTAAGGTTCTTTTTTATCTTTTTAATGTAAACTATCACAAAAAGTGAGTAACACTGAATTGAACTGAACTGATTCCGGAATCAATATTCAAATATATGTCACAAATTTTGATTAACACAAATAAAATATATCAAACCGTACCAAATAGAATTGGAATAGTTTCAATGAACTAAAACTGGAATACTGCATATTATAGTGGAATTGGTTCTCTGAATTTAATTCAAACAGTCATGAATAAATAAAATTTATTCTAACAAAAAATTCAGAAAATTCAGTGACAAAAGTAATTCTCGGACAATACTATCCAAAGAGTGAGAAGAAAATTGTAGCATTTTTACATTTTGTATTCAATAATTGAGAGCTTGAACAGTTTCAAATTTGATATGATTGATCTCTAAATTGAAAGAATAATGGAATCAAAGCAAGGATTGCTCAGAAGTTCATTTTCTCTGCGAAACGTTTCGAATAATTGGCAAGGAAAACATTCTTTCCGTTGAAATTGAGTGTTTTCAAGCTTAATAAAAGATGAAATGTTTTTGGAAGGAAAGTGTGAAGTAAGACAAGAGAATTCTGGAAAGGAGATGAGGAAGATATCGTGAAACTTTTTGACTTGAGATGCTTGTTGTTTCGCAGAAAAATCTATTTGGATTATAAATCAATATTTCTATGATATTTTAAACTAATTTGAACAGTTCAGCAAAATTCAATTCACTATTTCATAATTGAACTGTAATAACTTCAGTAATATATAAACATAAAATTAATTTTTATGCGATCAAGCACAATCAGTGCATTTCCCCAACTGTCCTTCTAATGGCCATTTATTATCAATTATTGATTAACTATCAACTAAATCAATTTAAATAAGAAGTGGAACGACGAGATTATAAATCATTAATTTTGTGATATTAACACCATCAAAAAGTTATGCGAAATAAAATGTAAACAATAATATATTAGTCGCATCTGTAATTAGGACACAGTTTCAAAGTTTTATTTTACAATTAAAATGCATTGTTCTAAAGGTACCGATTTTATGAAGCATTTCATGAATTACATAAGAATCATAAACACTTTGTTGTTCACTCGGAATATTTCAACCATTCAGGCAGTTAATATAAGAATTAATCAATTGCTAACATATTTGTTCGTTTTATCGCTAATATAATCAATTACTAATTTTATCAGTTACTAATTTAATTTTATCATTTTATCTTTCTTTTTAATCTGCAAATTACTAATTAATTTATGCATGCAAATTAGGGTTGCCGGAGACTATTTTTATTCTGTACAATGGTACAAAGTTAACCATGATAATAATAGTTGTAATATGGATAACCACCATAGTAATAATATGTCGGTATATACGGATTATACGCTCCGTATCCACTGTAGTAAGAATAATAAGGATATGGGGAACCTCCACCATTCAAGCTGCCTGCAAGCAACAAAGTAAGTATAAGAAATAATGAGCCGAGAGGACTCGATGTTGTTTGATCTTGTATTGCGGGAGATAATACCTTGCAATTTGACATATTTTTGAAATTTATTCTGTGCATAATGTAATTGATAACTATAGAATACAAAACCAGAAAAATGTTAACCATAATAATAGTAGTATGGATTGTAATAGTAATAATACAACGGTGTGTACGGACTATACGCTCCATATCCGCTGTAATTAGGATTATAAGGATATGAGGAGCCTCTACTAAACAAGCTGGCTAAAAGCAAACTCAAACCAAGTGCAGGAGATAATGGGCTAAGAAAACTAGGTGTTGTTCGAGCTGGTACTTAATCAGGAGGAGCCATCAACCTTTCGTTTCTATTCTTTTTAAATATTTCCAGTGATATGGATTATTGAACTGCAATTATTGAAACCTGCAAAAGGTTGATATAATCCATTTAGATTATAAATCATTAATTCTATGAAACTAATTTGAACAGTTCATTAAAATTAAAATTTGTATTTCATAATTGAGCCAGGATAATTGGGATAATTGATAAACATAAAATTAATTTTTATACAATCAAGCACAATCAGTTGATTTCTTTGACTATCCCTCTAGTGATCTTTTCATCATTTATTGATTAAATATCAACCAAATCAATTTAATTTAGAGAAAGTGGAACGACGAGCATTAATATGAATATCAACAAATTATGCCAATGGTATATGAATCTGTAATTGAGACATAGTTTCGAAGTCTTATTCCACAATTAAAATGCATTATTCTACAGGTATCGATTTTATGAAGCATTTCATGCAATACATTTTGGAAGCATAACGATGCAACGGCATAATAGTTAACCATAATAATAGTAGTAGTATGGATAACGACCATAGTAATAGTAATAATACGATGTATATGGATAATATCCTCCGTATCCACTGTAGTAAGGATATTGAGAATATGGGGAACCTGCAAGCAAACTCAAAAGAAGTGCAGAAGATAATAGACCAAGAGGATCCGATGTTGTTTGAGCTGGTGCTGGTGCTGCTGCTGGAGCTGCTGGTGCAGGAGCTGGAGGAGGAGGTGCCACTGTATTAACGTTCAAAGACTGAAATTTAAAATAAGCTTTTATTAGGGTTGTTAACAATTAATCTTAAAATGATAATGCGCCACATACTCCAGTTGCACTACAGTAAGAAACTACAGTATGCGATACATTAAGCATTACCTAATAAGATAAATGAAATCTATAAGAAATTTACGAGAAAATGAAATTTATAAGAAGTATGAAGCTCACATCGGGTCCTGCAAAGTTGTTGTATGATAAGAAATTAAAATGGGACCATTGCTGCGCATTTGTTTCAGCAATTGATAGTAATGTTCTGAAAAAGACGAAAGGTATTAAGAGGTAAGTAAAAAAAGTAATTAGTATGGTAGCAGCAAAAAAATTTGCCCGTCACTTTAACTTACATTATTGTTAGAGCAATCAAACATTTAGTGATAAGGAATGGCAGCATAATAAATATTCCAAAATTCCTGCAAATATTATTGATAATGAGCAATTGATATTATTACAATATAGTTCACGTCTAGAAAATCAGAAAAATACTCGTTTTATACTTACAGAGGGAAATTTATTTCATAAGAATTAATCGTAAAGTTAACAGGAATCTTGTTCTCGTGGACAACGTGAAATTCATTTAAGGCTTAATTTGTCAAAAACAGCAGCTTGATTATCAGAGAAGTGATAAGATATAAAATTAGGGATAAAGTTGTTCGGACAGTTAGATAGAGTCTATCAATCAACTGCAATTGAGAAACGAATTAATTATTGACAAGAACAGTTAATTACAAAGATAAATCTATTTTGTCGATTTTACGCTGGCTGAATTAGACGATGGAAGGAATTGATTCATTTTTGTAATATACAAAAATGGTAACATCACATTTCCCTGCATCTTTACGAAAGGACAGGTTCTGAAGAAAAGTAAAATTTGAGCTTTTGACGAATTCAGTTATGTTTCTCCAATTAGTTCTATTTCGGAAATGTTATCTTCCATGGCATCAAGAAAATCGATTGAGAGCAATTGGAAGTGAAATTACTGTATGACTAATTCTGTCAATATATATTGATGATTCTGATTGTATGAAATGCACGGCGATAAAAATATGACGAGGTAAGCGAAGGAAATTATACCGATTATATTCCCGGAAAATAAATAATCCGCTCTGGATGTATGAAGCGGTTATGTTGGCACGCTAATCGGGACGATTGTTAAGTTAGTTGATTATGGTAAACTCCGCTACCATATCCATAACCTCGTATTCGCTGCAGTATTTTTACTGCGTTCTCTACGTTATCTCTTTCATTTTTCTCTTTGTCTAACCGAATTTTTTCAAAATTGAATGAATTGGTAGATGAAGAGGGATAAAAATGCAAAATTGTTCTGTTTCTGGAGAGAGAGACTATTGTGTTTCAAGAATTCAACAGGCCTAAACATATGATTTCAATAATTCAACAGGCCTAAGCATATGATTTCAAGAGTTCAATAGGCCTAAACATATGATTTCAGGAATTCAACAGGCCAATGCTTATAACTTCGAGAATTCAACAGACCTAAGCGTTTACTTTCAAAAATTTACGCTTTAATGGTTAAATCTTGCCATAGAATTGAAACATTTGTTTTTTTTTTTAATTTGCTGAACGCAAAATCAACAACTGATAAATCTTTTATTACAATTGGAATAAAAAAGGAAATTCCGGTCTTAATAACTTATTGGTGGTGGTACGATTGAGAGTACTATTAACAAATGTTAAAAGGAGCGTGATGGCAGTTTTAATCTTTATGAGTTATAGTACGTTGATCAAACCTGCATAAGGTTCTTATAATTCATTTAGATTATAAACCATCAATTCTATGATGTGGTAAACTAATTTGAACAGTTCAACTAAATTCAATTTACTATTTCATAATTGAGCTAGGATAATTGGAATAATTGATAAACATAAAATTAATTTTTATGCAATCAAGCACAATCAGTAGATTTCTCCGAGTGTCCCTCTAATGATCTTTTTTATCATTTATTTATTAACTATCAATTAAGTCAATTTAAATTAGGGAAAGTGGAACGACGAGGTTTATTGTATATTCTATAGCTTTAGTCTCAGAATGGGTCGAAATATGAATAAGACGTCAACATTGTTCGACGACAATATTTGGTCCTTAGACGAGGACCATTTATCTTCATTGAGATGTAGTAGAACCGCTTTTCTGTTGAACATCAACAAATTATGCCAATGGAATATGAATCTGTATTTGAGACACAGTTTCGAATTCTTATTTCACAATTAAAATGCATTGTTTTACCAGTATCGATTTTATGAAGTATTTCATGAAAAACATTTTGGAAGCATAACGGCGCAACAGCACCATAATAATAGTAATAATAGTATAATACGATGTATATGGATAATATCCTCAGTATCTACTGGAGTAAGGATATTGAGGATATAAGGAACTTCCACCAGTCAATCTGCTTGCAAGCAAACTCAAAACAAGTGCAGAAGATAATGGACCAAGAGGATCCGGTATTGTTTGAGCTGGTGTTGGTACTAGTACTGGAGCTGCTGTTTATAATATTATAATATTAATTTATAATGTTATAATTAATATTATAATATTCCTCCAGATGTTATTCCTCTAGATAATTGATAATAGTTATGAAGGTACACATGATAAAATGAATAATTTGTTTACTTTGAACCCGGAAAAGGTTGATATAATCTATTTGGATTATAAATCATTATTTCTATGATATGGTAAACTAATTTGAACAGTTCAACTAAATTTAGTCCAGTATTCCATAATTGAGCTAAAATAATTTGAATAAATGATATAAACATAAATTAATTTTTATGCAATCAAACACAACCAGGAGATTCTTCCGACTGTTCCTCTAATGATCTTCTTATTATTAACTATTAATATATTGATTAACTATAAATTCAATGAATTTAAAACTAGAGAAATTTTTTGATTAACTATTAATTTAATGATTTATTGATTAACTATTAATTTAATGAATTTAAAACTAGAGAAAATGGAATGACAAGCATTAACATGAACATAAAGAAGTTATGCGAGATGGAATATATACAATAATATATTGGCTGCATTTGTAATTGCGACACAATTTCGAAGTCTTATTTAACAATAAAAATGCATTGTTCTCCAGGCATCAATTTTATGAAGCATTTCATGAAATACATTAAGCGTAAGCATGCAAATATTTTCCAAAAAATTTTGTTGTTTAATCGAATACTTCAGCCAATCAGGCAGTTAATATAAGCTAATATATTTGTTCGTTTCATCGCTAATATAATCAATTGCTAATATATCCATTCATTTTACCTTTTTTTTTAATCTATGAATTACTAATTAATTTATGCATGCAAATTATGTTAGGGTTGCGGGAGGCTTTCGTGGCAATAACTTATGCATTTCGACTTACTTTTGAAATTTATTCAGTGCATCATGTATTTGATAACTGTGGAACATAATACCAAACAAAACATCGCTTTAATTATTTAGAATTTCTTAATCTGCACAACGACACCAACGTTAACCGTAATAATAATAATAGTAGTAGTAGTAGTATGGATAACCACCATAGTAATAATACGACACATACGGATTATATGCTCCATATCCACTGTAGTAAGGATAATAAGGATATGGAGAGCCTGTACCATACAAGTTGCCCCCAAGCAAAGTAAGTATAGGAGATAATGGGCCAAGGGGGCTCGATGTTGTTTGACTTTTTACTTGATCAGTAGCAGCACCAGCAGCAGCTCCTGGACCAGCTCGATCTCTTATAGGATTACCTCTTCCCGGTACATTATTGTTCATCGACTGGAATTTAAAATAGTTTTTTTCCATGGCTAAATGTTCTTCAATGATTGAAATTTAAATTATTGTTGAAGTGACTGAAATTTAAAATAAGCTTTTATAACAATGGTTAACAATTAATCTTAAAATGATTATGCGTCAAATATTGTAGTTGTGCTATAATGAGAAAACTACAGTATGCGATACATTAAGCGTTGTCTTATAAAGTAAGTGAAATTAATAAGAAATTTGCAAGAAAATGAAACCCATATGAAACTCACACCAGACCCTGCAAGGTTGTTGAATGAACCTATATCAACACGCCACTGGGCATTTATTTCAGCAATTGATAGGAATATTCTGAAGAAGTAGAAAAATATTAACAGGTAAGTAAACAAAATAACTAATGTGATAACATTAAAAATATTTGTTCATCGCTTTAACTTACATTATTGTTAGAGTAATGAAATGTTTAGTGATAAGAAACGGCAGCATAATAAATAGTCCAAAATTCCTGCAATTATGTTTGGTAATGTGCAATTGACATTGTCACAATAAAGTTCACATGCCCACAAGACTGTTAGAAAATTGGAGCTTATTGTTGTGAGCTTACTGTTGTGAGAAAATTGTGAGCTTATCGCTTTATTGTTAATGAGGGAAATTCATTCTGAGTTAACCGTAAAGTTAGCAAGGAAGTTGTTCTCATCGCTGTCATAAAATTCAGGATAAAGTTGATCAGATGAACGCAGAGTCTATCATTCATTCGCAATTGAGAATCAAATAAATTACTGACAAGAACAGTTAATTACAAAGAGAAATCTATTTCGTCGATTTCACGCTGGCTGAATTGGACGAGGGAAGGCAATTAATTCATTTATGTATTATACAAAATTGATAGCACCACGTTTCCTTGCCTCTTTACAAAAAGACAGGTTCTGAAGAAAAGTAAAATTTGCGCATTTGATGAATTCAGTTGTGACTCTCTCCAATCAGTTCTACTTCGGGAATGTTACTTCCATGGCAATAAGAAAATCGATTACGGAACAATTGAAAGTGAAATTACAACGAGTATATATTGATAATTTTGATTGTATGAAATGTACGATGATCAAAACATGACCAAGTAAGTATAGCAGATTATTCCGATATTTCCGGGAAACATACAAAAACCGACATGAATGGTGGTTGTTTGTTTTTTCCCCACGCTTATAGTGACGATTGCTAAGCTAGTTGACTGTAGTACCCTTTGCTACCATATGCAATATCTTTGTATTCGCTAAAGAATCGTTCCTGTCATCTCTACATCATCTCTTTCATTTTTCTCATTGTCTAATTGAATTTTTTAGCTTTTTCAAAATTGAATGAATTGACAAATGAAGAGGGATAGAAATATAAAATTACTTTGTTTCCGGAGACTGTTGTGTTTCAAGAATTCAACAGGCTTAAGCGTATAACTTCGAGAATTCAACAGGCCTAAGCGTATAATTTCAAGAATTCAACATTCCTTAGCAACACGGGTTTTGTTTCGAAAGAATTGTCACAACGGCAGGTGATGAAATAGTAAAATATTTGAAGTCAACCAGCTTCAAAATTCAACTGACAAAATGTATATTCAAGAATTATCATTTCGACTCTCAGGAAATCCTATCTTCAACAAATAATTAGCATCAGAATTAATCAGTTAATAATATTTCCATTCATTTTAATATTGTGTATAGCTATATTATGTTTTATGATAAAACAAATTTAATTTCTAAATTAGTTTGCAGTAAACCTTGTAAAATTGGACGAATGAGTTTAATCGCATAATTTTAATGTCTATATAATGAAGTTTTAAAAATTGACGTATAATATTCTCACGTGTAATTATTTGTGGGAGATAAATTATGCAGTCTCGGGATACTGCAATTATTGATTACTCCAGTAATTGCAAATAATTATGAAAATAATTTTTCAATTTGATGATTTACAGCAAAGAGAAACAGCGGCTTGTTGTTGGAATTGTGAAGATTGTTTGGCACATCAAATTATAAGCAATACATTACGTTTGTGTGAAAATTGTACACTTGGATGGTGACCTAATAAAGATCATACAGGTAAGCATACTTCTATGCAGTCATTAAGCTTTTGTTTTTATTCTATTTAAATATTTCAAATGATATGTATTATTAAAGTAAGAATTATAAGCTATAAAAATTCTCTTAAAAAAAGACAGGATATATTATATCATTTGAGTCATATCATTCATTCTTTTAATATTGAGGAAATTTGCAGCTTGCTATCCATTGATACACTATAGGGCATCGCATGGATTGCTGTATGTATCGAATGACGGCAGTTTTAGTCTTTATGAGTTCTATACCGAATTTCTTGGTCAGTAGCCATCATCGTTGATATTTGGCAAGAATGGAATTTGTTTTGATTTCTGTTTTCTGTACTAAATTGAAATTCACTTATATTATTCATAATATTTGCGGTGAAAAGATAACAATGATTGATATTGAATAGTGATTAAAAAATCCACAATTTCGACTATTTATTAAGATAGCTGGTATTCTTTTATTACCGCTTAGGTAATAAAAGATTATTTTTAGATTACCTCTTTTATTACCTCTTCTATTACCTCTTACAAATTATTATCTTATTACTACTGTTATCGATGTAAAAGAAGAGATACAGAGATGAAGGAGAACTGTTGCCTTAATTAACTGACCATTTCTATGGAAAAAAATTCAAATATGATAAACTTATTCTTTTTCTTCCGTGTCATCTGTACTTTTTCCATTAATTATGACTTTAAAATTTTGAAACGGTTTTGACAGTCAATTAATTATTTTGGCAAATTTAAGCCTTAAACGAATTTTTCATTGTTCACTAAGCATTGTAAAATAAATATCACCTTCTGTTAAAATTTATTATGGCAAAATACGATAACAACAAGTTTCCTGCTAAATTTACGATTATTCCTGATGAAATTTTCTTCAATAAGAATAAAATAAATACCTTTCTAACAGTTTTTTAGACGTGAACATTGCTGTAATAATATCAATTCTATATTATCAATAATATTTGCAGGAATTTCGGACTATTTATTATGCTGCCATTTCTTGTCATGAAATAATTGATTGCTCTAACAATAGTGCAAGTTAAAATGATGAACAAATATTTTTGCTGTTATAATATCAGTTGTTTAATTTACTCATCTGTTAATGTTTTACTTCTTTAACAGAATATCACTATCATCAAGTATTTTCCTTACATGCAGCCATTTTTTCTATTTGCATGAATTCTTTATGCTCATTCCGTAAAATATCACTTTCTCTAATCCAATTGATTTGATTAGCAATATAATCAATAATGAAAAAAGGATGATTAAAATGGCAACTAAAAGTGTACGATCAGCACATTTTTATTGCAGATAATCGATTGCCATAATGGAAGGAAGGTGAGAAGGACCATCGTTAAGGTAAATGAAAGTTCTTAATGAGAAAACGAATAGTCGGCGAAAGAGAAGATGCACAACTTTTTACGTTGACACCAGTTGTAATATTACGTAAAATAATTGTACTGCAGAAATCATTAATCGATATGGTTTGCCTCTCTATCTTCGTTTTATACCACATAATGAGAATCAAAATCAATTAATGTTATTGATAACATTGCTCTCTTGTTTGCCAGACAATCACAACAAGTGCTAATCTTAGATTATTTAAACATCACCCAAAGTACACTAACCAAGAGCATTACTAACAATTGCTGAAACAAATGAACAAAATTTCTTTGTATTTCCTCGGTCGTTCATTGATAAGACAAACGACAACGTATGTGTCATACTTTGTTTAATTTAATGCTTAATACATCACAAAAATATTATTTCCCTTTGGAATCAGTTCTTTTCTTGCAAAAAGGCATGAAGTGTGATATTAAGTTTGCGAATTACATAGTCCACAATGTGAATCATCAGTCAATAATTAAGTGGATCCATTTTCTTAAATGAAAAGTAGACTATCTAAATTGGCTCTCTTTGTCAATGATACTTTTTGAAAAATGAAACGTAGAGAAATCAAATTTCCGGTTAAATTTACTGGTGATTCTCAAATATGACGCTGCCCTCAATTAGAATACAATAAATATTTATCTAGCAGTTTTATAAACTTTAACCTTATTACAATATCATCAACTGTACATTATTGGCCATATTTGCACGAATTTTGGACTGTATATTATGTGGCTATGCCTTTTCACTAAATATTTCATTGCACTAACCGTAATGTAAAATAAAGTGATGAAGAGCCGACTAATGTTTTTGTCCCCTTTCAGAACAATTCCATCAATTGCTGAACTAAATGCACAATTGACAGTTGTGAGCGTGAACTCGTTCAATAGAAACATTGCACATAGAAACATGAAGTTTCACAGTCCTTATGAGGTTGTGAATGATATGCTGCAGTATATAACATATTACGCACAATTCAAGTGTCATCTGATTTAATTGTTTACTTTCTCAATGAAAAGTTATTTCAAATTTCAGTTGTCGAACAATGATTTGAACGCAATGGTAAGACACAATGCTAATGATTGTAAGGGAAAGGCATTAAATCCATTTCAAACTCTACAAAATCCATTTGTTTCGTTTCCTGAACTTGCTGTTGGTGTCAAATATTCTCCAGACAATTTCTAGGCAACGCATTTAGCGATTATCTAAATTAAACCTGAAAAAGATTGATATAATCCATTTAATTAATAAATTTTTATGGAAGGTATTTATTTTACAAGTGCTTAATAAACAGCGTGAAATTCATTTAATGCTTAAATTTGTCAAAAGTAATTGACTGTCAAAAAATGATAAGCCATAAAATTCAGGAAAGGTTGCTCAGAAGTTGTGTAAAATCTACCAATTAATACCAACATAATTAGTTAATTACGAAGAGAAATCTGTATCGTGAATGTTATCGCTTGCTGAATTGAAAGAAAGAGCAATTCATTTATATAATCCACAAAATAGCATAATGTAAAAACAGAAATTGTAATGTACAAAATTGATAACATTGCATTTCCTTCTCGTCTTACAGAAAACAGATTCTGAAGAGAATAAAACTTGAGCTTCCGACGAATTCAGTTATGATTCTCTACAATTAGTTCTACCTTGGAAATAATATTTTCAAGAGAATAAGAAAATCGATTACGGAATGATTGGATGTGAAATTACTGTGTGATTAATTCTATGAGTATATATTGATAATTTTGATTGTATGAAATGCCGATGATCAAAGTATGACCAAGTAAAGGAAATTATTCCGATTATATTTCCGGAAAACAAACAACCACCATGGTTGTATGAAACGAGTACGATGGCACGCTTATCGGAACGATTGTTAAGCTCGCTTGCTGAATTGAAAGAAAAGGCAATTATTCAAAAATTATCATTCGATTCTTATCTCGTATTTGGAGACGAATTGAACGGATATGAAGTCGAACTTTTGCATTTTCGGAAAAAAAATAAATAGAACGGATGAATGGACGGACATAAACGATCGTAATTTTGCCATAGAATTTTTACAGAAGATGATAATTATTTTAGAAATGCTTAATGAACAGCGGGAAATTCATTTAAGGCTTAAATATGTCAAAAATAATTAATTGACTGTCATAAAAATGATAAGCCAAAAATTCAGGACAAGATTGCTCAGAAGTCACGTAAAGTCTACCAATTATTGGACGATTGTTAAGCTAGGTGATTATGGTGCACTCCCAACCTCGTATTCACTTCAGTATTGTTCTTATTTTCTCTCCGTCATCTCTTTCACTTTTCTAATTGAGTGAAATGGCAGATGAAGAGGAATAAATATTAAGCATTTCATTAAACGAGCAATGATACATACGTTATCGATTACATTATCAATGAACGACTGTTTGAGCAATTGATGATTTTGTTTTGAAAACACAATGATACATTAACTGGTAAATAAACTGAATAACTGATAGCAATAATGTTTGTTCACCAATTTAACATACAATGACGTTGCGTGTGACTTCCGATATTCGCAAGATGATAACATAGCTTTTCAAGATATTTTCAAAATTCGTTCACTCTATGATACATTTATCGGCTTGTTAACTTTCATCCGTAGAAAACAAAATCTTAAAATAGCAAAATGCCGCAAAAATAATTTGGAAAAAAGTAAAACGGTTAATCACTTTTAATAGTAATGTGAGCAGTAAAACGGATAACCATCGCAATAATCATATGGCGAAGGATTGAATCTTCTACCGAATGCGTTGCTTCACTGAGAAAATAAATGCTTAAATCAGATGGCGCCTTACGTGTCACAACTATAGCATACCATGCATAACTTCATAAAAACTGTTATATCATCTATATTCATATGTTATTAGTGATCATCGACACGAATATACTTATTTCCTTGAAATACTTCATTTATATTTATATTCTGGATGGTAGCCTAATAAAGATCATACAAGTGAGTATGCTTCTATGCGAGCTTTTGTTTTTATTTTTTTATTTTTTCATCAAGCTTTTGTTTTTATTCTATCTAAATATTTCCAGTGATATGTATTATTGAACTTTATAATTTTACAAATCAATTATTGAAACCCGCAAAAGATTGATACAATCCATTTAGATTATAAATCATTAATTCTATGATGTGCAAACTAATTTGAACAGTTCAACTAAACTCACTTCAGCATTTCATAATTGAGCTAGAATATTGGGATAATTGATAAACATAAAACTAATTTTTATGCAATCAAGTATAATCAGTTGATTTCTTTGACAATCCCTCCAATGATCTTTTTTATCATTTATTGATTAACTATCAATTAAATCAATTTAAATTGGAATGACGAGCATTAACATGAATATCAACAAGTTATGCCAATGGAATATAAATACTAATATATTGACTGCATCTATAATTGGGACACAGTTCCGAAGTCTTATTTTACAATACGCATTGTTCTAAGGTACGATTTTATGAAGTATTTTATGAAAAACATTTTGGAAGCGCAACGGCACAATAGTTAACCATAATAGTAGTAGTATGGAGAGCGACTATAGTACGAGTAATAATACGATGTATATGGATAATATCCTCCGTATCCACTGTAGTAAGGATATTGATATTGAGGATATGAGGAGCCTCCACCAGTCAATCTGCTTGCAAGCAAAATCAAAAGAAGTGCAGAAGGTAATGAACCAAGAGGATCCGATCTTGTTTGAGCTGGTGCTGGTGCTGGAGCTGCTCGTGCACCGCCTGGAGCAGGAGCTACCGCTGCATTATCATTCAATGACTGAAATTAAAAAAAAGCCTTTATTAGAGTTGTCAATTAATTAATCAAAGCTTATAAGTTAATTAAAGCTTATAAGAAGTATGAAACTCACATTGAAGCCTGCGAAGTTACTGTGTGATAACAAACGAAAACGAATCTGTGCATTTATTTCAGCAATTGATAGCAACGTTCTGAAAACGTAGAAAAACATTAACAAGAACCAAATGATATGATAACATTAACAAGAAGCAAACGGATATGATAACAGCAAAAATATTTGTCCTTCACTTAAACTTACACTATTGTTAGAGCACTCAAATATTTAGTGATAAGGAATAGCAGCATAATAAATAATCCAAAATTCCTGAAAATATTATTGATAATGAGCAACTGATATTATTATAATAAAGTTTACATCTAAAGAACTGCTAAAAAAACATTTGTTTAATTTTTATTGAGGGAAATTCTATCAGAGTCAGCAGGAAACATGTTCTCGTCACATTTTATCATAGTTAAATATTGCAGAATATTTACTTTACAAATTCTTAATGAACGATATGAAATTCAAGGCTCAAATTTATCAAAAATAATTAAGAAACTGTCAAAAAAAGACAAGCCATAAAATTCAGGAAAAGGTTTCTGAGAGGTTACGTAGAGTTTACCAATATCTCCAATGAAGTACCAACAAAGACAATTAATTATGATGAGAATCGCTGTCGGAATTGGAAGAGGTGGCAATTAATTTTTATAATCTACAAAACTGCATAATGTACAAAGTTAATATCATTTCTTTTTCTTCTTGCAAAGAACAAGTTCTGAAGAAAAGTGAAACTCGTGCTTCTGACGAATTCAGTTATGATTCTCTCCAATTCTATTTCGGAAATGACACTTTTAAGGCGACAAGAAAAACAAATACAGAACGATTGAAAGTGAAATTACAATGAGTTTATATTAATGATTTTGGTTGTATGAAATGCGCGGCGATAAAAGTATGACCAAGTAAGCAAAGGAAATTATACGATTATATTTCCGGAAAACAACCCTGTGAAAATTGCGTTCTCTACGTCATCTCTTTCATTTTTCTCTCTGTCTAGCTGAATTTTTTCACTTTTTTCAAAGTTAAGTGAATTGGCGCATGAAAAGGTATAGAAATGGAAAATTGCTATGGTTCTGGAGACTGTTGTGTTTCAAGAATTCAACAGGCCTAAACATGTGATTTCAAGGATTCAACAGACCTGAGCGCATAATTTCAAGAATTCAACATTCCGTAGCAACGTAACGGTTTTATTTCGAAAGAATTGTCACAACGACACGTGATGAAATGAGAAGTATTTTAAGTCAATCAACTTCAAAATTCTGACAAAATGTATGGTCAAAAATTATCATTTCGATTTTCGAGAATCCTTATCTCGTTTTAAGTGACGAATTAAACGGATCCTTTATATCATGAGTCGAATTTTTGCATTTCGGAAAGAGATAAATAGAACGGACGGATGAACGGACATAAACGGTCGCCGGATATATGTTACTCAAATAATTATTTTGATGAGTTGTGTATCGCGGTAAATGTTCCAGTTGTTTAGCTCAAACTTTTCTAATGACAGCACACATTTGATGCGAAAGAAGAAATAAGGAAATAGAGAGGAACCGCTGCTTTAAATAACTGATCATTTTTTTGGAAAAATTCGTTTATGATAAATTTTTTCTTTCTCTTCCGTATCATCTGTACTTCTTCCTTTAATTATGACTTTAAAATTTTGTAATGGTACGATACATTATTTAAGAATAATTGATAAGCTGTTTATTAATTTAGGCTGATTATTGAGTGAAAGATAGAGCCAGAAGAATGCTTTTGGTTAGCGTACTTTGCGTGATGTTTAAGTAATCAAAGATTAACACTTGTGTGAGCAAGTGAGAGAATAATGTTATTAATGGCTTTAATTGATTCTGATTCTCATTGTATGGTATAAAAATGAAGATAGAGAGACAAACCGTCGATTCCTGATTTCCGCGCTACAGTTATTTTACGTAATATTACAACTGGCGTCAACTTAAAAAAAATTGTGCACCTTTTACTTCGCCGACTATTCGTTTTTATCTTTAAGAACTTTCATTTACCTTGAGATGGCCCTTCTCACCTTTCTACAATTATCTGCAATAAAAATGTGCTAATCGTACACTTTTAATTGCCATTTTAATCGTCCTTTTTTCATCTATTGATTATATCGCTAATTAAATCAATTGAATTAGAGAAAGTGATATTTTACGGAATGAACATCAACAATTTTGCGCAAATAGAATCCGGAAATGACTGAAATGATGTGAGGAAGTACTTCATGAAGTACCACCATACCGTCACATGCAATTGATATAAATTTCAAGGTCTTATTTTGTAATTAGCATACGCTGTTTTATGGATTTAGATTTATTGGTACACTTCATTGAGTTATTCTGTAAATATTAATTTGGTTATAAAATATTTTCGAAAACTTTGAGTTAATTACATTCAACAAATAATTAGCTTCAGAATTAATTAAATAATTATGTATTCATCCATTTTGATATTATGTTTTATGATAAAACAAATTTAATTTCTGAATTAGTTTGCAGCAAACCTTGTAAAATTGGACAACGAGTGAGTTTAGTCGTATAATTTCATGTCTATATAATGAAGTTTTAAAAATTAACATGTAATATTTCTCACGTGTAATTATTTTTGGGAGATAAATTATGCAGTCTCGGGATACTGCAATTATTGATTACTCCAGTAATTGCAAATAATTATGAAAATAATTTTTCAATTTGATGATTTATAGCAAAGAGAAACAGCGGCTTATTGTTCGATTTGTGAAGATTGTTTGGCACATCATTATAAACTACTGGATTTTTCTTTTTGAATTTGAGCAAGGAAAATTTAAATTAGTTCTGAATTCTTTAATTTGAGGAGGGAAATTATGTTAAATTATTGGGGTTGGCACGTGGTAAAATCAATGGCTTGTTTAATTGAAATTGGAATCACGAAGTCATTTAAATTAAACCTGCAAAGGGTTGATATAACCCATTTTGATCATAAATCATTAATTCTAAGATGCGACAAACTAGTTTGAACAGTTCGGCTAAATTCAGTCAGTATTCCACTTTTTAATCTGAACAATGGCGCAAAAGTTAATATAATAATAGTAGTTGTATGGATAGCCACCATAGCAACAGTAATAATGCATCGATGTATAGGGATTATATTCTCGGTAACCACACTGTACAAATGAAAATAAGGATATGGAGAACTTCTACCTATCAAGCTGCCTGCAAGCACCCGAACCAGAACTTAATTTAAAATAATATAGAGGATAATAGGGCAAAAGGATTCGTTGCTGTTTGATCTGATCTTTGATTGCCTAATCGATGCAGCAATTCCTGCTCTGATTAATCCATCAATGACTGAAATTAAAATTAAGCTTTTATTAGAATGTCAACAATCTTATAATGATAATGCGCTAAACAAAATAACTGATGTGATAGCAGCGAAAATATTAAACAAAATAAATGATGTGATAGCAGCGAAAATATTTTTTGCGTTATTTGTCATTTTTGCATTATACTTTCGCGCTATTTGCATTGTTTCTTTAATTATTACATTAAATGATAATCAAAATTTTGAATTAATAAGGATATTGGCCAACACTTTAAGTGTGAACTATTAATGATTATTGTTTGATTTAAGCCTTATTATTGCATTAAGGATGGAATCAAAAGAAAAGCTCTTGGTTAACAATACATGTGATGCCTTAGTGATTAAAAGTTAACACTTGAGTATTGTTGAATGGGTGAGAAAGTATTTTATCAGTAACTTCAATTGATTTAACTTCAATTGATGTTATCAGTAACTTCAATTGATTCTTATTCAAATTTACATTAAACAAAACTTTGCAAAATTCTTTAAAATTCAGGGCCTATAAAGTTTGATATAAAGAAATTTGGAGAAAACAAAACACTTAATAATTGGTGATAATAGCATGTCCTATACTATGGCTAACCGTTAATATTAAAATAATAATATGGCACCGCAGTGCATTTGGAAAATGCAGTACTTTGAGCTTCATCTCCTGATACTGTCAGACTAACTCCGAGGACGTAGCGCTTTAGTTATGCGTTTACAATATTTGTCAACCACTGAAATTTATAATAAACTCTAAATGGGAATAACAACGCTTAAATGGGAACTAATGTTTAATGTATCACGTATTGCAGCTGTGTTACAATATTTGATGCATTAAGCATTGCATTAAATGAAGTTGTCGTTTGCATTATGACTGAAGAAATCCAAGAAAATTTTGTTCATTTGTTTGAGCAATTGATAATTTTGTTTCGAAAACACAAAGAGACATTAACTGCTAAATAAACTAAATAACTGATATGATAAAAGCAATAATATTTGTTCATCACTTTAATATACAATGAAGTTGCGCATGACTTTCGATATTAGTAAAATGATAACATAGCTTTTCAACATATTTTGAAAATTTATTCACTCTACGATACATTTAACAACTTGTTGACTTTCATCCGTAGAAAATAAAATTTGTGTGATTTTCGGAAATCTTAAAATAGCAAAATGCTGTAAAAATAAATTGGAAAAACGTAAAACGGTTAACCATTTTTAATGATAATATGAGCAATAGTTCGAGTAACCATTACAATAACCATATGGATGATTTATGATTTTTGTTTTTATTAAATTCGACTACAATTTAGTTCTGTTAATGAAATGTCATCTCTCGAAGCATCAAAGACTGTATAGATTAATTCTCTATATGTTAATGGCTGATTTTGTTTTTGATGTACGAAATATTTAAATAACAAAAATTTAGCCAAGGTAAATCGAGCAAGCAGAGCAAAGATATTTCAATTATCCTTCGGGAAAACAAAAGTTGCACCGTTCATGAATGAAACTGGTATGACAAGATGCTTAGTGAATAAAGGATTAAGCCAATTGACCGTAATCTTACAACGCGCTACCGTATATATAACATCAAGAATTGTACCTCTTTTATTCGTCACCACGTCTCTATTTCTTCCATAGATTACGATGCCAGAGAGATATGCATTATCTTGTCTTCTATCCGTTATCGAAATAATTAATTGACATCATTTATTTTTGCTTATTACACTTATTATCATATATCGATCAAACAGGTCTTTGGTTATGTTTTAGATAGCATTAAATAATGCCTGAAAAGAACGGCTTGCTTCTGCAATGCATTTATCAAATAGTTGTCTAATTGTTAAATGATTACACTACGCAAACTTGATAAGAAGTCACTTTTATCATGGTAGATGCGAAATGAGTGGTTGTGATCCCATAAATGAATTTAAAATAATTTTTGTGTTAAATAAATGAAAATAAATGACCATAAGTTACCGATTTATTAAACAGATAAATTGTGTTCCAAATACTGAAATTTATTCATCCGTTCATAACTTGGCAATTAATGTTAAATTCAAAAAGCAAAATAACTGATGTGATAATAGCAAAAATATTTGTTCATCATTTTAATTTACACTATTGTTAGAGCAATGAAATGTTTAGTGATAAGAAACGGCAGCATAATAAATAATCCAAAATTCCTGCAAATATTATTGGTAATATGCAACTGATATTACTGCAATAAAGTTTATATTTGAAAAACTGTTAGGAAAATGTTCTTTTTATTTTTATTGGGGGAAATTCTATAAGAATCAATCGTAAAGTTAGCAGGAAACTTGTTCTCATTGCAATTTCTACAGAAGATGATATTCATTTTGCAAATGCTCAATGAGCAACGGAAAATTCATTTGAGGCTTAAATTGCTAAAATAATTAACTTCATTATCAAAAAATGATAAGCTAAAAAATTCAGGATAAGGTTGCTTAGAAATTACACGAAATCTACGATTCAACAAAAACTGTTAATTATGAAGAGAAATCTGTTTCCTTCAATTTTATCGCTGGCTGAATGGAAGAGAGAGACAATTTGTTTATATAATCTATAAAATTGCATAATGTATAAAATTCATAACATTGCACTTCCATTTCTTTTTACAAAAAACAGGTTCTGAAGAAAAGTGAAATTTGTGTTTTTGACGAATTCAGTTATGATTATTCCTCTTTACTGGTTGATTCGGGAGGATAATTTGGGAGTGCTTGCATTGATTGGTTCGGACGAGTATGGGTGGCTGGATAGCTTACCTCCAGCGCTGTAACTTATATCAAAATGCCGAGCGAGGGGCTGTGGAAAATTGTTCATTTTGTATATGAAACTGACGGTAAATAAAGAATTCGTCCCTGGCATCGTTTGTAGTGGACGGATGGATAATAAAAGTGATGGTTAACAAAGAATTGCATGAAGCGATGGTGAAAAGAGTTAATTGATGTTATGGATTTCCTACAGTATTTGAAGTCAATTAGCTTCAAAATTCAGCTGACAAAATTATCATGTCGATTCTCGGGAAATCTTGTCTTGTATTTAGAGACGAATTAAACGGAATCTTAGAACAATGAAGTCGAACTTCTTGCATTTCGGAAAATGATAAGTGGAACGGACGGTTGGACGGACACAAACGGTCGCAGAATATGTGTTACAATGAAGATAGTAGATTTGAGCAGTTTGTTACAATTTTAATACATGTTAATGCAGCTATAACCCGAAAATAATTTTTCAGAATTACGCAGCAATAGTATTCATCAATTTAGCATTATTATTTCTTCTTTGATATTAGTTGGAGTTTGGAACTTAGTTATAATAACCTTATGACAGTTTTTTTGTCCGTAGAATTACGTAGTAATCGAAATAAAAAAGGTAAGAAAATGAAGAAAAGTAAAGCAAATGATAATAAGTATTCATAACAACAATTAAAGCAACTAAATTTTAGAAATGAATAAAAGTTCGATGAAAATGAAATAAGGATGAGAAATTGGAGAAATGTAGCTAACTCGATGAATTTAATTCTTCCAATCATTTTTTACTATTACTTCTATATTCTGCTATATTTATATATCCAAAAGTTTGCATAAATCGAACGATGGTTATTTCCTTCTTAAAAAAATATTAAAACGATAAAATTTAATTTCTGATGTACTGATGTAAAGATTCTATTTGAGCTTTTGAAGAGTCATGGCATGGAACCTCTTCAGTTAACAAATGCGACACCGTTATGATTATTCATTTCATTTCCCTTTCTTCCTCCATCCTCGTAAATTCGATCTCTTCTCTGTTTTCTTTGAGATCTTTAAGTTTTTCTTATTAATTTCCAATTTGAAAATTTAACCAATTGAGAAGATCAATTTGAATTGTGAGACATTTGATTTTCAGGCAAAATAATTTAGGCTGACTTTTATTACTTACACAGTGTTTCCAATAGTTAACGATTTCATAAATTTATTCATATCAATCGATACGATAATATTTTGCTTTCATATAGTTGTTTGATAATTCAAATCATGATAACTTATTGGGGTCGTACGATTGGAAGCACTATTAACAAATGTGACAAAGAATATCATAATGGTTTTAGTCTTTGTGAGTTTTAGTACCGAATTGCTTGCTTAACAGTTATCACCGTTGATCAAACCTGCATAAGGTCCTTATAATCCATTTAGATTATAAATCATTAATTCTATGATGTGGTAAACTTATTTGAACATTTCAACTAAATTCAATTCAGTATTCCACAATTGAGTTTAAATAATTTGAATAATTGGTATGAACACAAAATTGATTTTTATTCAGTCAAGCACAATCAGTACATTCCTCCGATTGTCCTTCCAATGATCTATTTGTCACTTATCGACTATCGATTAAATCAGTTTAAGTTAGATAAAATGAAATGACAAGCATTAACGTGAATATCAACAAGTTATGCCTATGGAATATAAGCAATAATATTTTGGCTGCATCCGTAATTGGGATACAGTTCCTAAGTCTTATTTTATTGAAAATGCATTGTTTTATAGGTATCGATTTCATGAAGCATTTTACAAAAATTTTGGAAGCATAACGGCGCAACGGCACAATAGTTAACCATAATAGTAGTAGTATGGAGAGCGACTATAGTACGAGTAATAATACGATGTATATGGATAATATCCTCCGTATCCACTGTAGTAAGGATATTGATATTGAGGATATGGGGAGCCTCCACCAGTCAATCTGCTCGCTAACAAACTCAAAAGAAGTGCAGAATATAATGGACCAAGAGGATCCGCTGTTGTTTGAGCAGGTGCTGGAGCTGGTCGTGCAGCAGCAGCTGCTGCCCCTGCAGCGGCTGCATTATCGTTCAACGACTGAAATTTAAGATAAGCTTTTATTAGGGTTGTCAACAATTAATCTTAAAATGATAATGCACCAAATATTGTACTTGTACTGTAGTATGCGATACATTAAGCATTACCTTAAGATAAATGAAATTTTTAAGAAATTTTCAAGGAAATGAAATCTATAAGAAATACGAAACTCACATTGGGACCTGCGAAGTTGTTGAATGATAAGAGACTAAGACGGTTCTGTGCATTAGTTCCAGCAATTGATAGTAATGTTCTGAAGTAAGAGAGAAACATTAATAGGTAAATAAACAAATAATTAATTTAATAACATCTTTTTAACTTACACTATTGTTAGAGTAATGAATTGTTTAGTGATGAAGAATGGCAGCATAATAAATAATCCAAAACTCCTGCAAATATTACTGATAATGTGCAATTAATAATGTTACAATAAGGAATTTACGTCTAAAAACTAAATGTTCGTTTTATTCTTATTGAAAGAAATTCCATCAGAATTAACCGTAAAGTTAGCAAATTTGTTCTCATCTATTTTGTCACAACAAGTTTTTACAGAATGAAAACGTGAAATTCATTTAAGGCTTAAATTTGACAAAAATATTTAATTGATTGCCAAAAAATGATAAGGCATAAAATTAAGAGGATAAGGTAGCTCAGAAATTATATAAAGTCTGCCATTCATCCGCAATTAAGTACCAATAATAGAAGAAATCTCTATCGTCAATTTTATCGCTGACTGAATTGGAAGAGAGGAGGAATTCATTTATATAATCCACAAAATTGCATAATGTAAGAAATTGAAACTGTAATGTGTAAAATTGATAACATTGCACTTCCTTTTCATTTTACAAAAAACAAGTTTTGAAGGGAAGTAAAATTTGTGTTTTTGACGAATACTGTCACGATTCTTTCCAATTAGTTCTACTTCAGAAATGTTACTTTCAAGAGAACAAGAAAATCGAATACGGAATGATTGGAAGTGAAATTTCTGTATTACTAATTGTGTAAGCATATATTGAAGATTTCGATTGTGTGAAATGCACGAATATAAAAATATGACCAAATAAGTGAAGCAAATTATTACGATTATATTTCCGGAAAACAAACAACCATCATGGGTGCATGAAACGGTACGATTATCGGGACGGTTGTTAAGGTTAGTTGACTGTAACCCCCTACTGTCATATGGAAAACCACCTATCCACAACAAGTGTTGTTCCTATGTTCTCTTCGTCATCTCTTTCATTTTTCTCTCTGTCCAGTTGATTTTTTTTCGAATTTTTTCGCATTTTTCAAAATTGAGTAAATTAGCACATGAAAAGGGATAGAGAGGTTAAATTGCTTTGCTTCTGGAGACTGTTTATGTTTAAGGATTGACCGTTTCGTTTCGAAAAAACATTGTTACAACGACACGTAAAGAAGCAGCAAAGTATTTGAAGTCAAATTTTTCAAAACTCAAAATTCGAAATTCAAAACTTCAAAATTCAACTGACAAAATGTATACTCAGAGATTATCATTTCGATTTTCGAGAAACCTTATCTCGTCTTTAGTAATGAACTAAAATCATGTAATCGAATTTTTGCATTTCGGAAAGAGATAAGTAGAACGGACGGATGGACGGACAGAAACGGTCACAGAATATATGCAACTCAAATAATTGTTATGATGAATTGCATATTGCGGAAAATGTCTTACTTGTTTAATTTAAATTTAGCCAACGACAGCACGCATTTGATGTGAAAGAAGAAATAAAGAGAAAGAGGAAAACTGTTGCTTTAAATATCTGACCATTTTTTTGGAAAGAAATTCAACTGTAATAAACTTATTCTTTTTCTTCCGCGTCATCTGTACTTTTTCCTTCAATTATGACTTTAAAATTTTGAAATTGTAAGATACATTGGCAGGAATAATTGATAAGACTGTTTTTTTCAACATTTCATATATCAAAATCATTAATCAGTTAATTAATTAATAAATTAATCATTAATTAGTCAATTAGTAATATAGTAAGTCTGTTTCTTTAATGAAAAATAAATAACCTGAACTTATATCTCCTTGTCAAGGTTACCATTGTGAACTTATCTCTCCTTGTCATATCTCTTTGTCAATGTTACCTTCCTTGTCAATGTTATTTAAACTTATCTCTCCTTGTCAATATTACCATTGTGACTCTCAAATATGACGCCCTCAGTTAGAATACAATGAATATTTATCAAGCAGTTTTATTAAATGTTAACCTCATTATAATATCATCAATCGTTTGCAAGAATTTCGGACTGTATATTGTGCGGCTATTCCTTTACATTAAATATTTGTCTAACAGAAATGTAAAGTGATGAACAGCCTGCAAATGTTTTTCTCCTTTTCAGGACAATACTCTCAATTGTTGAACTGAGTGCACAAATGACTGTTGTGAGCGCTGACTCGTTCAACAGAAACTTCGCACGAAGAAATGGAAGTTCGCACTTCTTATGAGGTTATGAATGATATCCTGTAGTTGTGACATATTATGCATTTCTTTTGGCTCCATTCTTCATTCAGTAATGAAGCCTAAATCAGCAAACAGCCTTATCAATTGTTTCTGGCCAATATATCTTACCATTTCAAAATTTTATTCATTATTTAAAGTCGCAATTCAAAGGAAAAAGTACAGATGACGTGGGAGAAAAAGAATAAATTTATTATAGTTGAATTTTCGTCCAAAAAAATAGTCAAAGCAACAATTCTCCTCCATTTATTTATTTCTTCTTTCAAGTCAAATGTGTGCTGTCATTGGGAAAATTTAAGCTAAACAACTGTAACATTTTCCGTGCTACACAATTCATCATAACAATTATTTGAGTAGCATATATTCTGTGACCGGTTGTGTCCGTCCATCCGTCCGTTCTACTTATCTCTTTCCGAAATGCAAAAGTTCGACTTTATGATTTTAAGAATCCGTTTAATTCGTCACTAAAAACGAGATAAGATTTTCCGAGAATCGAATGATAATCCCTGAATATATATTTTGTCAGTTGAATTTTAAAGTTTTGAACTTCGAATTTTGAGTTTTGAAAAATTTTAACTTCAAGTACTTTGCTGCTTCATTACGTGTCGTTGTGACAAGTCCTTCGTATCAAAATCGTTATGTTGCTAAGGAATATTGAATTCTTGAAATTATGCGCTTAGGTCTGCTGAATACTTGAAATCATACGTCTAGGCACCTCGAATTCTCGAAATCATATGTTTAGGCCTGTTGAATTCTTGAAACACAACAGTCTCCAGAACCATAGCAATTTTCCATTTCTATACCTTTTCATGCACCAATTCACTTAACTTTGAAAAAAGTGAAAAAATTCAGCTAGACAGAGAGAAAAATGAAAGAGATGACGTAGAAAACGCAATTTTCACAGGGTTGTTTTCCGGAAATATAATCGTATAATTTCCTTTGCTTACCTGGTCATATTTTTATCGCCGCGCATTTTATGCAATCAAAATCATTAATATAAAATCATTGTAATTTTACTTCCATTCGTTCCGTATTTGTTTTTCTTATCGCCTTAAAAGTGTCATTTCCGAAATGGAACTAATTGGAGAGAATCACAACTGATTTCGTTAAAGGCACAAATTTCACTTTCCTTCAGAACCTGTCTTTTTGTAAAAAGAAAAGGTAATTCAATGTTATCAATTTTGTACATTACAATTTCTATTTTTCACATTATGCAATTTTGTAGATTATATAAATGAATTCCTCCTCTCTTCCAATTCAGTCAGCGATAAAATTGACGAAATAGACTTCGCTTAATAATTAATTGTTTTTGTTAGTACTTAATTGCGGATGAATGGTAGACTCTGTTGAATTTCTAAGCAATCCTATTCTGAATTTTATGGCCTATCGATGTTTTTGAAAAACAAGCCTATAAGTGACTTCTAATCAAGTTTGTTTAGTCAAGTTTAATCACTTAACAATCAAGCAGCATTTGATACAAGCATTATTTAAATATCGCAGTACCTTGAATGCTTTTGTAATAATTCTGATAAGCAAAAGAAATGGTATCAATTAACTAATTATTATGATAAAGGATAGAAGGCAAGATAGCGCTATCTATCTGGCCATCATAATCTATTTAATTACACGGAGAGAAGAGAAATGGAAAAAATAGAGTGGAATGGTGACAAATAAAAGAGGAATAATTCTTGACATAAACGTCAGGAAATGTTTACGGTGACGTGCTATGAGACTACGGTCAATGGCTTAACTGTTGTTTTTGTAACAAAAAGTGTGTTGTCATGCCTGTTTCATTCATGAAGGTGGAAAATGTACTTGTCGTAAATACGAGGTTGTGCTTACGGTAGCAGAGGATATTACAGTCAATTAGTTCAACAACCGCCCCGATAATCGTACCAATAACCCGTTTATACATCCACAATAGTTTGTTTTCCAGAGATATGATCGGAATAATTTCCTTTGCCGGAAAAAAAATCAAAGTCAACAATTTATATTCATAGTAATTTTACTTGCAATTGTTCCGAATCGACTTTCGTGCTCCCTAATAGTTAACGATTTAGTAAATTTATTCATATCAATCGATTTAATAACATTTTGCTTTCATATAGTTATTCGATAATTGTAAAACAGAATAAAATTCGAAAACGATTTTTATTATATATCTATATTTTAAAAATAATTCCATAAACATTATTTATTTGTTAAACAATAATTTCTTCCATATAATTTATTACCGCTGATTTTAGCTGTTATCACTGTAAGAGTTTTTCTTATCATTCTAGAGAGGTATTCTACCAATATGATTAATTATGATGATTAATTATGATCTTCTTTCATTTCTCTTTCTTCCTCTATCATTATAAATTTGATATCTTTTCTGTTTTCTTTGAAATCTTAAAGTTTTTCTCAGAATATAAATTGAGTGCAGCAATGAAATGAACAAGCAATTGTGAAATTTGTCTTACAATCACTTTAACCAAATAATATTTCGTTCTTACTATGAAGAGAAAGTTTTAATGGCTAAAGTTTGCCATCAAATTGAAGCATATTGGCTGCATCTATAATTGGGACACAGTTCGAAGTCTGCATTTTCATTTGCATTTTCATTTCGCATTTTCATGTTCTACAGGTATCGATTTTATGAAATATTCCATGAAATACATTTTGTAAGCATAACTGCGAAACTGCACAATAGTTAACCATAATAATAGCAGTATGGATAGCGACTATAGTAAGAGTAATAATACTATGTATATGGATAATATCCTGCGTATCCACTGTAGTAAGGATATTGAGGATATGGGGAGCCTCCACCAGTCAATCTGCCTGCAAAGAAACTTAAAAGAAGTGCAGAATATAGTGGATCAAGAGGATTCGATGTTGCTTGACCTGGTGCTGCTGCTGAAGCTGCTCATATATCTGGAGGAATAGGTGGCGCTGCATTATCGTTCAAAGACTGAAATTTAAGATAAGTCTTTATTAAAATTGTCTACAATCTTAAAATGATAATGCGCCAAATACTGTAACTGTAGTATACGACAATTAAGCATTACCTTATAAGTGAAATTTATAAGAAATCTGCAAGGAAATGAAATCTATAAGAAGTATGAAACTCACATTGGCACCTGCGAAGTTGTTGAATGATAAGAAACTAAGACGGTTCTGTGCATTAGTTCCAGCAATTGATAGTAATGTTCTAAAATAGGAGAAAAACATTAACAGGAAAGTATACAAAATAACTAACATCGAAAATATTTGTTCATCGTTTTAACTTACATTATTGTTAGAGCAATGAAATATTTAGTGATGAAGAATATAGCAGCATAATAAATAATCCAAAATTCCTGCCAATATTATTGATATATTCTTATAATAAAGTTTATGACTAAAAAACTATTAGAAAAATATTCGTTATATTCTTATTGAGGGAAATTCTATGAGAATTAATTGTAAAGTTCGCAGATTTGTTCTCATCGCAAAAGATGTATTTTATAAATGCTTAATGAACAACGTGGTCTTTCACTTAAGGCTTAAATTTGACAAAAATAATTAATTGATTACCAAAAAATGATAAGGCATAAAATTAAGGATAAGATTGCTCAGAAATTATATAAAGTCTGCCATCCATCCTCAATTGTGTACTAACAAAAACAGTTAATTAATAAGAGAAATCTATCCCGTCAATTTTATCGCTGGCTGAATTGGAAGAGAGGGGGCGATTCATTTATATTATCGACAAAATTGCATAATGTAAGAAAATGAAATTGTAATGTACAAAATTGATAGCACTGCATTTCCTTTTCTTTTTAAAAGAGGACAGGTTCCGAAGAGAAGTGAAATTTGTGTTTTTGATAAATACAGTTATGATTCTCTCCTATTAGTTCTACTTCAGAAGTGTTACTTTCAAGGCAACGAGAAAATCGATTACGGAGTGATTGGAAGTGAAATTTCTGTATTTCTAATTCTGTAATTATGTATTTAAGATTTTGATTGCATGAAATGCACGATGATAAAAATATGACCGACTAAGCAAAGCAAGTTATTCCGATTATATTTTCGGAAAACAAACAACCACCATGGATGTATCACATCAGTTATTTTGTTTACCTATCTATTAATATTTTTCTGCTTTCTCAGGACAAATTTATGAATTGCCCAAAGAAATTCAAAATTCAATTGACAAAATGTATATTCAAAAATTATCATTTCGATTTTCGAGAAACTTATTTCGTCTTTAGTAATGAACTAAAATCATGTAATCGAATTTTTGCATTTCGGAAAGAGATAAGTAGAACGGACGGATGGACGAACAGAAACGGTCACAGAATATATGCGACTCAAATAATTGTTATGATGAATTGCATATTGCGGAAAATGTCTTACTTGTTTAATTTAAATTTAGCCAACGACAGCACGCATTTGATGTGAAAGAAGAAATAAAGAGAAAGAGGAAAACTGTTGCTTTAAATATCTGACCATTTTTTTGGAAAGAAATTCAACTGTAATAAACTTATTCTTTTTCTTCCGCGTCATCTGTACTTTTTCCTTCAATTATAACTTTAAAATTTTGAAATGGTGAAATACATTGGCAGAAGTATTTGATAACACTGTTTTTTTCAACATTTCATATATTAAAATCATTAATTTCTTATCCTTTGATGCTTTGAGAGAACACATTTTAAGAAAAGAACTGTAATTGAATTTAATAAAAGCAAAAATTATATTTTCTTTTAGGAACAGCTGTTTTCATCTAGAAAGGCATAAAAGTATGATGTTACATTTGCGAGCTACATAAATGTGTCACATTAGAATCATCAATTAGTAATTAAGTAAATCAGTTTCTTTAATGAAAAATAAATAACCTAAACTTATTTCACCCTGTCAGTGTAACCATTTCGTAGTCATTGGAAAATTTTCGTAGTCATTGGAAAAATTTAAGCTAAAAGTGAAACATTTTCCACCATATGCAATTCATCAGAATAATTATTTGAGTGACATATATTCTGTGACTGTTTGTGTCCATTCATCCGTCCGTTCTACTTATCTTTTTCCGAAATGCAAAAGTTTGATTTCATGATTTTAAGAATCCGTTTAATTCGCCAATAAAAACGAGATAAGGTTCTCGAAAATCGAAATGATAATTTTTGAATATGCATTTTGTCAGCTGAATACTTTGCTATTTCGTTACGTGTTGTTGTGACAATTCTTTCGAAACAAAACCGTTATGTTGATAGGAAATATTGAATTCCCAACATTATGCGTTTAGGCCTGTTGAATTCCTGAAGTGACACGCTTGGGCCTGTTGAATTCTTGAAATTATACACTTAGGCCTGTTGAATTCTTGAAACACAACAGTCTCCAAAAACAAAGCAATTTTACATTTCTATCCCTCTTCATGTACCAATTCACTTAATTTTGAAAAAGCGAAACTATGACGTGGAGACATAGTAAAAATAGTGAAGCGAATACGAGGTTATGAATATGGGAGCGGAGTGCGTCATAATCAACTAGCTTAACAACCATCCCGATAAGCATTCCATCATAACCGCTTCATACATCCAGAGCGGACTATTTGTTTTCCGGAAATATAATGGGAATAATTCGTTTTACTTGCTTGATCATGTTTTGATCATGGTGCATTTCATACAATCAAAATTATCAATATATACTCATAAAATTAATCACACAGTAATTTCACATCCAATCATTCCGTAATCGATTTTCTTATTTTCTTGAAAGTATCACTTCCGAAGTAGAACTAATTGGAGAGAATCATAACTGAGTTTATCAAAAGCTCAAATTTTGCTTTTCTTCAGAACCTGTCCTTTTGTAAAAGGAAAAAGAAACGCAATGTTATCATTTTTGTACATAACAATTTCAATTTCTTACATTATGCAATTTTGTAAATTATATAAATGAATTGCCTGCCTTTCTCTTTCAATTCACCAGCGATAAAATTGAGGGAATAGATTTCTCTTATTAATTAACTGTTTCGTTGAATGATAGAATTTATGTAATTTCTGAGCAACCTTATCCTGAATTTTATAGCTTATCATTTTTTTGACAGTTAAAATGATGAACAGATATTTTTGTTGTTATCACATCAGTTATTTTGTTTACTTATCTGTTAATATTGTCCTGCTTTTTCAGGGCAAAATTATCAGTTGCCTAAATAAATATACTGGATTTCCTTCAATTTCTTCAACCATTCGGAAATATTGAAAGCGATATGTGTCATACTTCATTTAACGTGAAGCTTATATCACAAATTGTAACAAATAGAATATGTGACATATTAAGCATTAGTTCTCATTTAAGCGTCATCATTCTTAATAAGAACATATTGTAATAGTGTTAACGCATTACTAAACGCGATTTTGTGGATTTGGTATGCCAACAGGATATGAATATGTATCCAGATCTGCTTTGATTGGTTGAATACTCGGTGCCGGTGTGAGTATTAATGCATAGAACTCTCTTTCTATATTATTTTTATAATTTGAATATTAACGGTTTGCCATGGTATAGGCCGTATTATTACTGTTCCTATATTATCATGGTTAAGTAAATTGCATTCTCCAAATTCCTTACCATAATAAGAGTGATTTCTAATCAAGTTTGGTTAGTAGAGTGTAATTACTCAACAATCAGATGGCCATTAGATAAAAGCATTTTTAAACATCGTAATTTCCTGAATGTTGGGAGAAACAAGCTATTCTATTCAGGCATTACGTAGTGTTACCATAAAACTGATAATCGAAGACCAGTTCATTCATATATGATGATAATTCCTATAGTAAATAGAAATGGTATCAATTAACTAATTACTACGATAAAGGATAGAAGACAAAATAGCGCATATCTATTCGCCATCGTAATTCATTCAATTACACAGAGAGAAGAGAAATGAAGGAACTGAGATATGGTGACGAATAAAAAAGGAACAATCCTTAACGTTATGGTACGGTAGCGTGCTATAAGATAACGATCAATTGGCTTAACTACTGTATCAATTGGCTTAACTACTATAAGCTTCCTGTCATACCTGTTTCATTCATGGACGGTGGAGTGTTTGTATTCTGGAAAGGCTATTGAAATACCTTTGCACTACTTGCTCGGCTTGCCCTGGCTACAATTACGCAAATGTTAATCTTTGTTCATTGAACATCTAATTAATAACATTTCTTCTGATTCCATCCATCGTTTAATAATCGAGCCTAAATCAACAAAAACAGTATTCTCAATTATTAAAAAGCTTCGCAGTTAGAATCTTGGCTTCAAAAAAACGAGCGCAATAATTCCATTAGACAGAGAGAAGAGTGAAAGAAATGAAGTATAGGATAGAGGAAAAATGTTCATCGTGAATACGAGATTATGCTTACGATAGCGGAGGTATTACAGTCAACTTGCTTAACAATCGCCCCGTTTCATGCATCCATGGTGGTTGTCTGTTTTCCGGAAATATAATCGGAATAATTTGCTTCGCTTACTTGGTCATATTTTTATCTTCGTGTATTACATACAATCAAAATTATCAATATATACTCATTGTAATTTCACTTCCATCGTTCCGTGTTCGATTTTCTCGTTGTCTTGAAAGTATTATTTCCGAAGTAGAACTAATAAGAGAGAATCGTAAATGAATTCATCAAAAGCTCAAATTTTACTTTCCTTCAGAACCTGTTTTTCTGTAAAATGAAAAGGAAATGCAGTGCTATCAATTTTGTACATCACAATTTTAATTTTTTACATTATGCAATTTCGTACATTATATAAATGAATTCCTTCTCTCTTCCATTTCAGTCAGCGATAAAATTGGCGAAATAGATTTCTCTTAATAATTAGCTATTTTTGCTGGTACTTAATTGCGGATGAATGGTAGACTCTATTTACTTTCCAAGCAACCTTATTCTGAATTTCATGGCCAATCAATTAAATTGCCAAACAAGCTTATAAGAGTGACTTTTAATCAAGTTTATTTAGATAGAGTTTAATCACTTAAATCAGAAAGCCATCTGTTACAAGCATTTTTTAAATATCGTAGTTCCTTGAATGTTGGCAGAAACACGCCCTTCTATTCATGCATTACTTGATGTTACCATAAGCCAAATAACCAAAATGACCTTTGATAAAGCCCTTATAATAAGTCTGATAAGCAAAAAGAAATAATATCAATTAACTAATTATTGCGATAAAGGATAAAACACAAGATAGCGCTATCTCAATTACATGTAACGCCATAGCCGGTACCTAATGATGGTTGTTACTTCATGACTCTATGTAACTTTCAAGCAACTTTATCCTGAATTTTATAGCTTATCATTTTTCTGATGTTCAAGCTAATTATTTTTAACAAATTTAAGCATCGAATGAATTTCACGTTGTTCACTAAGCATTTGTGAAATATCATCTCCTGTAACAATTTATTAAGGCAAAATCTGATGAGAACAATTTTCTCGCTAACTCAACGATTAATTCTCACCAAGGATAAAGCGAACGATTTTCTAACAGTTTTTTGGACGTAGACTTTATTGTGATAATGTCTATTGCACATTATCAAACATATTTACAGGAATTTTGGACTAATTATTATGCTGCCGTTTCTTATCACTAAATATTTCATTGCTCTAACAATAGCGTAAGTTAAAATGATAAGCAAACATTTCTGCTGTTATGGCTTCTGTGATTTTATTTACTTATCTGTTAATGTTTTTCTACTTTTTCAGATTATTTCTATCAATTGTTGAAACAAATGCACAGTGGGTCCGTTTAAATATATTAGCATCCAATAGCCAGGGAGGTCACAGAGTGAGTTTCAGACTTCTTTTAATTATTACATTCTTGTGAATTTCTTATAAGTTTCACTTGCTTTATGAGGTAATGCTGAATGTATTGTGTACTGTAGTTTTCTTTTGTAATAGGACTACTGCATTAGCGCATAATCATTTTACGAATATTTGTTAATAATTATAATAGAAGCTTGTTTTAAATTTCAGTCACCGAACAATAATTTAAATTTCAGTCGTTGAACAAACATATTTTAAATTTCAGTCCTTGAACGATTATACAGGAGGAGGGCTTGTTCCTCGAGGACAACTTCCGGCTCAAAAACAAGACCAAGCAACATCGAGTCCTCTTGGTCCATTATCTGCTTTACTTAGTTTGCTTGGAGGCAGCTCGATTGGTGGAAGCTTTCCATATCCTTATTATCCTTACTACAGTGGATACGGAGCGTATAATCCGTATATGCCGTCGTATTATTACTATGGTGGTTATCCATACTACTACTACTATTATTACTATGGTTAACATTGGTGTCGTTGTGCAGATTAAGAAATTCTAAATAATTAAAGCGATGTTTTGTTTGGCATTATGTTCCACAGTTATCAAATACATGATGCACTGAATAAATTTCAAAAGCATGTCGAAATGCTTAACTTATTGCCACGAAAGCCTCCCGCAACCCTAACATAATTTGCATGCATAAATTAATTAGTAATTCATAGATTAAAAAGAAAGATAAAATGAATGGATATATTAGTAATTTACTAATTTTCATCTAACAGCTCGTTGAATGGTTAAAATATTCTGATTAAACAACGAAGTTTTTTGAAATATCATATTTGTTTGCTTACGCTTCTAGAAGTTTTTCATGAAATGCTTCATTAAATCGATACCTGTAGAACAATGCATTTTCACTGTTAAATAACAGTTCGAAATTGTGTCCCAATTACTGATGCAGCCAATATATTATTGCTTATATTCCATAAGCATAACTTGTTGATATTCACGTTAATGCTTGTCATTCCATTTTATCTGACTTAAACTGATTTAATTGATAGTTAATCGAAAAGTGACAAAAAGATCATTAGAAGGACAGTCGGAGGAATGTACTGATTGTGCTTGATTGCATGAAAATTAATTTTGTGCTCATAACAACTATTCTAATTATTTGAACTCAATTATGGAATATTGAATTGAATTTAGTTGAATTATTCAAATTAATTTATCATATCAGAGAATTAATATTATATAATCTGAATAGATTATATTAACTATATGCAGGTTTAATTTAAATGACTTCGGGATTCTAATTTTAACGAAGACAAGTTATTGATTTCATCATGTTCTATCTCAATTTAAGAACGAAAATAAAGGTTATGGAAGAATTATAGAAGAAAATAAAGGAAAGCAATGTCACTTAACGTTGTTTTCTTTTATTTTCATTCTTTCATAATTAATTTTAATTTTCCTCGCTGATATTCGAAAAAATGTTCCAATAATCAGTTATATTACTATTATTATTAATGATTTTTAATATCAATAGTGATAAGATAACAATTGTTGTTAGGAGGTGATAAAAAGTGCATGAACTTCAAAAGCAGTCAAAAAAAAAGCAGAAGCTGTGAAATTTTTTTACCACTATTCCATATTAATCATTGTTGTCTTTTTACCACTGATATTGGCAATAATATAACTGATTATCAATTTAGTATACAAAATGATTTGAAACAAATTCCATTCTTGCCAAGTATCAGCGATGATGACTATTAATCAAAAAATTCGCCACTAAAACATATAAAGATCAATACTGCCATAATATTCTTTGTAAGAATTGTAATAGTGAATAACTATCGTCGGAAAATCAGTAGTTGTTGACAATGTTTTATCAATGTGAGAAGTAAAAATTTAATTAACGAAATCACGTTTCGAAGTTATTGTCGAAGTAGAATAATAGTAAGGCTACAAAACAAAATAATGCGAAAGAATTTCTGTTCCCGAATAGTCATGAAAGTTCAGAATTTGTTTTTGAAATTACTTTATATTAATCTAAGAAAATTGCTCATTTACAAATAAAGGAATAATTTGCATTGATTATTTAGGTTATTATTTCACCTGGTTGATGAAATCATTTGGATTAATTCTAGAATATACTCAGTGATAATGAATTTATAATTCTATTTTGCATTTCATTAAGAAAAATTTATTGATTGTTCCATTGCAAATTATATTAAAATAAATTACCTGAGAGGAAGACAATCGCAAGGTGATGTTAATTTTTTTGATCCTTTATTAATATAATGTTAAAAGATCACGGATGAATTCTTTGATCATTCAAGGGAAGATATTGCAAATTTTACAAGAAAAGTTTAAGAGAAGATTTATTTAAAAAGTGATTAAAAAATTAATTTGCCAGAAATTTGCATTACATTATAAAACATAGCTAATGTTGGAATATTGACGTGAAGAAATTTGAAGCCTTTATAAGGAATTTAATAGGCATATTTTAGAAAATAGTCACCTGATAAATGAAAAGAATATGAGATTTTCTAATTTACCTGTATCTGTTATTTTGACTTCCTTAGTTTCGAAAGTTCAGTTTAAAAAAACTTTGAGATCCAAAAGTATTCATTTTCATATTCACAATTGTACAAAAATAAGGATCCCCATTTATTTCAGTGAAATGAAAGCTTTTCATTATTAACTACCAATGATAATTTTTTCCCAAAAAAGCAATTAAGAAAAACAATAAGAAATTTGACAAAATTTGATAACAAAACCGAAAGATCTATGAATTCAATTAAAATCTCTGAATTTTCATTCTGTCATAACACTTTCTATCCTATCATGGTATGATGTTGAAAACCATTATATCATATCGTCTTATATACCAATGATCAAATAAATACATCTTTTTATTATTATTTTCAAGTAATCCTTCGTTTTTCTCGCTTTTACAATATTTTTAATCTGCAAAATTTACCAAAAATTCGTTTGGAATCTTTAATACTTAATTTTTCTACTTAATCAATAGAAGAAATCTGAAACAATATGATTAATTTATAAATTAGACTTAGCAGTAAAGTGTTTGTCTAAATCCTATTAATTTTAACTTTGATAAGACTTTATTTTGTGATTATTCTTATCCTGCCCGCTTGGTAAATTTCCACCATCCATTGCGTAAGATTAATTTTAAATATCGATTGATTTCTTTACTCTTATTTGAAAATAATGTAATAACGATTGTAATTAATATAATCTGAATGAATTGTTAGCCTTCAAATTCAGATCTCTGTTGGCATTCGAATATTCACGTGTTTACTGATAAAACCTGAAATTATCATATTACTTGCTAAATTTGACATAAATAAAAAATTTGCATTCATGGTCCATAATTATTTTAGAAAATTAAGACGACTCGTGATTTGAATTTCAGCGCAAAGAAATTGCTGATTTTACTATGTGCTACCTCAATCACTTAACATTGTCATCTTTTATTTTCGTCCTTCCATAAATAATTTTAATTTTCCTTGCTAAAGTTCGAAAAAATGTTAGAATAATCATTTATATTATTATTAATATCAATAGTGTTAAGATGATAACTGATATTAAGAGGTGATAAAAAAGCACCAGAACTTCAAAAACAGTCGAAGTTGTAGAATTCCTTATCACTATTCAATATTAATCATTGTCATCTTTTTACCGCTAATAATGACAATAATATAATTAATTTCAATTTAGTACATAAAGCAGAGATCACAACAAATTCCATTTTTGCCAAGTATCAGCGATGATGACTACAAACCAAAAAATTCGGTGCAAAGGCTCATAAAGACCAAAACTGCCATCATACTCGTTGTAAGTATTTTAATAGTAAATAGCTATCACTGAAACATCAACAGTGTTTTATCAAAGCGAGAAGAGGCAAAATTCAATTAATGAAATCAAATTTCGAAGTTATTGTCGAAGTAGAATAATAGTAAGGCTACAAAACAAAATAATGCGAAAGAATTTCTGTTCCCGAATAATCATAAAAGTTCAGAATTTGTTTTTGAAATTACTTCATACTGATCTAGGAAAATTGCTCATTTACAAATGAAAGAACAATTTGAATTGATTATTTAGGTTATTAGTTCACCTGGTTGATGAAATCATTTAGATTAATTCTAGAATATACTCAGTGATAATGAATTTATAATGCTATTTTATACTTCATTATTTATTGATTGTTCTATTACAAATTATATTAAAATTAATCACCTGAGAGGAAAACAATTGCAAAGTGATGTTAATTTTTTCGATCTTCTTATTAATATAATGTTAAAAGATATATAACGGATGAATTTTTTTTCATTCAAGGAAAGATATTGCAAATTTTAAAAGTAAAGTATAGGAGAATCATTTAAAAAGTTATTGAAAAATTAATTTG